AAATCTAAACGCTAAATGGCGAGTTAATTGGACTTGTAAAGACACGAGATAAAGCGAGACTTACAATAGCTTCATTTCTTCGCGCAGGACTAAACGTCACGTTAGCTTTTATAGGTCATTTATCAAATGTTACGTGATCTGAATAAAATTGATAGTAATTGAGAGTTAAACAAACCGGGGCTAAATTTTATGAGCCAAATCATCTTGAAGAAGAGCATCAATTATCCGCGACTGCTAATTTAATTCTTCGCTGTCTAGCTTAGAGTGTTATAAATGTATTCAATTATAAAAGTTGCTTTTATCAAGGCTTTAATCGAATTTCGAAAGATTCGAAAACTGCGATCCTTTGCGCGCATCAAAGATGCATCCAGTCGCGGCGCTCCACCGTTTACGACGCGTGGCTGGAATTTCAAAATTTTCAGAGCATCTGCAACCCAACGGCAGCTGTTTGCGCATATCCTATTCGCCACTTGTTCCCGATACAGTACGACAAACATGACAATGTACAGACGTCATCTCATTTCCGCCAAAAACGTCAATGCGTTGCTCCGTTAACGCATCTTCTCGGATAACGAGATTTAAAAAAAGAATTCAAAATGATATAATTCTGTTTTCATCGAGAAACACGGCTCTATATAGGACGATCGAGAGGTAACTGACTCCGACGACTGGGCATCTTGTAGCGAGCAGATGACGAAATGCTGCTGACCGAATGTATCAAATATCCGGCGCAAGGAGCAGTCACGCGACTGCTTCCGTTTGTCTTCGCCGCCTGATACGAACGCACGCGGCGCGTGGAAAAGGCAGTATTGTTTCCTCGCAGACGCTTTCGGATACCTGCAAATACAGGTGGCTACTCAACATGAGCTCTATTGTCCAGCTTCTGTCCTTCATCTTTTGTCGCTTTCTACACGACTTTCCTTCTTAAACGATCATCTATTATGCAGCATGGTAAAATTTCATCGTAACGATTGGTGTCTTATTAAAAAAAATGGAAGAGTAGCATAAATCTTTCAATGCCGATTTGCCGACTGATTGTGAGCTTAATTTCTATTAAAGGAAACCTTTTTCTTTATTAACTCTTGTTCTCTTAAGAAAGTTCTCCCTCGTCGAAAGATCTATTGTTAAACCTAAAGATGTTAAGTCATCTTGGTACATTACCGTGCCTGACCACCCTAACTCGCCACACTCCGGTTCAATTTTTCGGTTTTCTAGTTTTTACATAATAACATAATTTTCTAGTTTCCTTATAATAAGTTCAGTTTAAATTCAAATAATTTTCTTGACCTAATATTATCATAAAAATTTTATTCAGAGTCTGTATTTCCAATTTCTACAGTACACTACAAACTTAAAAATATTAATTAGAATAAAAATGACAATGCGATAAATTCGAGCGGTCTCACGGACCGGAGTGTGGCAAATTAAATAATCGAAAATAAGTGTAGCTAGTTAGGGTTAATATTAACGAGAATTCTAATATAAAATTTACAATAAAGTTTCGCGTTTACGTACGTTGTCTGACGTACAGAGAGTTAATACGCGGCTGGCAACAATCACGGCCAACAGCTGACCGACCATCGGTCGACACGCGGTGCGCTCTCGTTAATTTCGATGCTGAACGAAAACCGCGCGAGACGCATCGGTGATCCCGCAGAATTTTCGGGGTCTTCCAAGCGGGGGCACAGACAGAATTTGCAAAGAGAGAAAGGGAGATAGAGACCGACCTGCGGAGACGTTCGTCCTTTTATATTTGGCACATATGCTGCCAGGTGCTCACGCCGATGGCCAAAGGGTAGAGTTTCGAGTTTTCTTACCTTATTCCTCGCGGCTTCTTCACTCATTTCGTTCGAACTTCCTCACTCTTTTTTCTCCTCCATGACAACGTCAGCTGTCGATCATCTTTTCATCCGACACTTTCCTCCGTTGCGAAGTAACATCGTGCCTGCAAATGATAATAGCATGTATGGTATCATGACAAGAATGTAAGTTTAAGAACGCGTAAAGAAGCTGCTGTTAGTATATTTTAAGACTGCTGTACATATTCTAAAAATAAAACTTAGATTTCTATCTCGTTATAAACGCTACAAATCTTGTGAACGCTATTAATAGAATTAATATTGGTTAAGTAATATAATATATATAAGTTTCCTTTCTTCTTTTAATACTTTCATCAATTTGTTGCATGAGAATATGAAAAAGAAATAAAATAAGAAGCCAACAACACAACGGTAATATATAACCATCTGGAATTAATTTTCAAAAATCGTGAACACGCCGTCCATTAGATCGATCATAAAACCGTGAAAAATGATCGAGCTGGTAATTGTCTTCGGTACGAGTTAAAGTCGTGGCATTAGCTACATCCTGGCGTGGAACCCCTGCAGATCGGTTTCTCCCTAATTTTTGACGATGGTCCGAGTCACGGTGCACGCGGGGACCCCGCGTGTTCCGGTCTGCTTGACCAGGACCGGAAGCGGGAGCCCGATGGGGAGCGCGGGGAACTCGAAACTCGAAATCCCCCATGGATATTGACGTTCCCGCGTTTGAACGAGGAGGAAGTCGGCATTTCCTCAGAGATCCAACGGCTGTGCCGAAACGAGAGCAGGAGAAACGATTTACGCTCCGGAGGATAACATCGAGGTTTACGCGTTAATATCTGCGCGCTGTAAAAAGATTTGAAGGGCAGATTGCGCGGCAAGACACTTACTCGAATCCTCAAATCTTTATCGTGCGTATTCCTTGTTGTAAGAAACATTCCTTGTATCGATGGATAATACGTCAACCATCTCGCATTCGCTATAATATCACGTTGGGAAGTAATCAGGCAGCAAAACACGTAATAATCGGCAATAATAGCCAAACTACTGCCTCCCGTGGATATTATAAAAAAAATCTCAAGAAGCAATCACAAACCGTAATGATCGTTACGGGCGCTGGGCCATGGTGGTCACGGTGTTCACCTGTCCATGATGGAGCACGAAAGGAGTGCGCGATGCCCGCACGTGTGCACGCATACGCACCACGATTGACGCGCGTTACGCTGCAATGTGCCCTATACTTTTCTGTAACGGTCGAATTTACCCCTGTCATTCGACTGGTCGTGATATAGCGAGCCGTGACTAGACCGAGCTGCGTATATCGCGCGAGATGCTTATAATTGCGCGGTTCGAATCTCATGGCGGCGGCAACGTGCACACAGCGCATACTTATTTAATATTTGTACATCTAGATCAATATATTTATACATCTAAAACCATCCGATGACAATCTTCAGAATAAAAGATATCTTGACTGAAAATGATTTTATATAATAAATGATCTTCCTTCTCAGCATCCTCGAAAATTAAAGAAAGCACGGTAAGAAAAATAGATCTTATTGCAATAAAAAATATGAATGCGTCACAATCTACGGTTCACGGTACTGGTCACGGATTTCCATGAACGAGCTAAATCACAATCAAATCGATTTTTGTCGGAGAAAGATTTCAAAGAAACTGTGACGCTAGAGAGTCAGAGGTGAGACCTTGGCTTATTCTTTACATCTTGAATATCCCATATAGCAAGCGCCCTATCGTATCGAGTCGTGTTGACTTGCCATACAACGCCCGGTATTCATGAAAAATGTATAGAGAATACGCAAAAAGATAATATGTAATGAGTGGCGTTAACGCAGCCTGCAATTCAAAGGCGAGGTAACGAGGAGACTTAGCAATGGAAAGCGGCAGGATATCGATCTCACACGAAAAGATACTAAATAGGCATATAATATGATCCACACTTTACGTCATATAGGTCTAATCATACAAAAAACTGCACGATTACTGCTCGTTCATAAGTCATGTCCACCGAAACTTTTATGCGCGCTCGAGAAAACGACGATTGCGACGAACTCGAAGGGCGATTCTCTGCCTGGGACTTGCTTCCACTTGGTCTCTCCCTCTCGTGCTCCGGCTGCTTCACCTGCTCGGACGACCGTTTTTTCTTCTTGCTGCAGAACGCCCGACTTCCCGCAAAAATGCTCAGGGCAATCGTGCCCACGACAATTGGACGAACTCTGTCCTGCAGTTTCATTGGTGCGCTCGCTTACAGGATCAAAACCACCTATTCTTCCATAAACTTTTCTGGAGAAATATTATTCAATTTCTAAATCTCGCCTCAAACTGGATCTGAATAAAAAAACCAATTTTTTGTATAATATCGATCTAATTTCTAACATATAGCGTCAAGTTTGGTCCAATATTTTATCGAAATAATGTTTACAAAAGAAATAAATAAAATAATTCATTTATAAACAAAATATAATATACATATTATACTTATATAGAAATATAAATTATTTTGTACTTATTACATGAGGCTTTTATTTAAAATCTATTTTTTTATGAATTTTTTAAAAGTATCCTTTCTAAAAAATCTACTTAAAAAGCGGATAGAGTTTAAGAAACTAATTTTCAGAAATAATATATCAATTTAAGAAATAGATTTTAAATATATACTGATTTGAATAAAAATGAAGATAGAGAGTAAGCTGCGGGAGCAATGTCAAAGAAACTCGTTCCGTGCGCTCCCGCGATCGATAAGGGCACCGACGCAAATGCGGAAAAAAGCTCGACGGAGGAAAGATCATTTTGAATCCCATCGCGACACGCTCGAATCACGATCGTGATCATTCTATACGTTGTGCTACTTAGAAAAAGGGCAAAAAAAGCTTCATGGTGCGCGCGCGCGCGCGCGCTCTTCCCCACCACGAGAGATCGCTTAGCATAATCCGTTGGACGATTTTGAACGGAGGACGCGGTGGCGAGGGTATACACGTGGAAAACGCGGGCATTAGAAGAGGAACGCGCGAGCCGGTGCCGTGCGCACGACGAGGACGTCGCTACGCAAAAATCGCGCCATTTTTCGTGCGCAGCCCGTACGGCGCGCCAATCAGATTTGAATTCAAACGTCTGGTGGAAGGGAGCACCGGACCTCGTGGCTTCGCTCAAACGGATACGAGCTGGCTGGCTTCCACCGACTCAGAACGATCCCAGCAGAACCAGTCTGGCCGTGGTACGGTGAGGATTGAGAATCGATTGGTCTTGGATGGAGCCGCTCAACATCGCGCGAGCCCGTTCGAGAATCGAGGAGGAAACTTCACAGAAAAGTTGAACGGATCGGCGGAATTTACGCGGCCGAGGATTCGCCCGCTCTTCCGGAATACGCCGAACCGAAGAACCGAAGGAGGCTCGACGCCCGTAGTGTCGTATTCGCTGGAAAACGTAGAGGCGCGTGGGTACGTACTTTGAACCGTGAAACGGAACGTTTCCCGGGGATCCGCTCGCTCGACTACGCGCACGGTGGAAGCACCAAGAAGTTCCCGAAATGCTGGTAGCCTCGATCTGTCACGAAATCTACTACACGGTGTTGCCCAGTACGACCATGACCTCGCGAGTACCACGCTGCCTCTTCGGCCGGCCGAACTCGCGGGAGACCATCGAGATGCTCCAGGAGGCCCTAGACGCGGAGAGGAGCAAGTTCGCCAGGAGATGGGGAGTGGATCCCTGCTCCGAAGAAAATAAGGAGAATAATTACCAGAGGCGGAACAACGAGAGGAGCGACCGGTCGCCCGGCAAAAAGCGAAGTAATCCGTATTCAAGGCAGACCAGCATTCACGGTGAGCAACATTTCTCTCTCGCGAAATATCAACGCGCGAACTTTATCGGCGATCGCTTAGCGGCAATTTGGACGCGCGAACGCACCGCGTTGCGCCGCGCCGCATGCATTTACGCTCGCGGAATATGCATGAGGGAGCATGACGCATGACTCACACGACACGTTCGACAAGTTTCCCCTGGACGGACAGCGCGCGAAAATTCCGCGGAATGCATGTATATTACGCCGAGAAAGTAGGTCGGCCAATATCGTCTTCTTCAGTTTAATGGGCGCGGACATAAGAGTCTAAAAATATCTCTTACACATAATTCAATATGGCATGCCGCTGTAAAGTTTATTGAGGTGGGAACAGAATTATGTAACGATACTAGCGCAGTATGGTAATGGATATTCGGATACTTGCAACTTGTAACCAACGCGTCGTTAAGAAAGCTAAACTCCGACTTTCAAATCAGCCTTCTTTAACCAATAGACTGCTATTTACAATTAGCCTACTGGATGACGCTGGAATAATGGGATTGCGAATCTATCGTTCGTGGCGTCGTAGAGACGGAGCCGCGGCTTTTTGGCGGGAAAGACGTGACGAAGAAAGGGAAGCCGAGCGCGCAGACGCGCAGACCTGGTCGCGTGGCTCCGACCTGTTTTCTTATTCTAAGCCCACCGCCTCTTCCGCCTTTTCTCCTCCTCTCTCCTCTATAGCCATCCCTCGCCAGAATACTCCCGGCTACCCGTCTTACGCTCTCTTTGACCGATTCTCTTTTACCCCGTCGGGCTGTCGTTTCTTACGCCAGAAGCATGCGTCGTAAACGGGTCGCAGACCCGTTGCCGCGATATTCCATCAAGTGGTCGAAATCTCGAACTAAAGATTTGTCTTTTTTTTTTCTAAAAACAATTTACAAAACATACTTAACAAATTTCCACAAATTTTATTTACGAATTTTATAATCAGTTTGGGAATTTTGTTATAAATAAAATCCAATATATATATGTAAGCAAGGTTGGATTTAAAATAAATTTCGCTGTTCTTTTTACTTATTTACGAAATGTAAATGGATAACTTTTGCAATCTTCGTCGATGATTGTTTAAATTATAGAATTATGTAATTTATAAAAAAGTTTTATTTGAAAAAAGTTTTATCGAAATATAGAATATTTTAAAATGTTAGAATATTCAATAAGTTGGGAAGTAGGTAACAATTATAGCTCCGTTTAAAAAATTAATTAGTCATGAAGTTTTCTACTTATTTTTTAACTCAATTTCATCATTTATTTGGGAAAGCGTTCATAGACTTCTACGCAGCAACCAAATATATCTGGAAAAAAAAAATACTGGCGTTATCACGAAAAGATAAGTGAACACGTGTGGTGCACGATCGTGAGAAGCGATCAGTCGCCGGTTCAACTGCAGGGTGCAGTTAGGGAAGGAACGTCGTGATCGGAAATGAGATCACGCCTATGAGTCATGCGTCTAAGGTGGGCGACACGACGTACCTGTAGGACACCGTGAGTCATCGAAGGGCCCCAATTTCCAAGGAGTAAAAAAGACTCGCGATTGCATTCCTTGGATTCCTCAGGCATGACGCAATCACGCCCGCCTTTCTTCACCTTATCGCATGAATTCTTGTGCACAATGGATATTTTATTTACTCGACCAAGTGCAAAATGTTGCATGCTTTTATACACGAGACCGTTAATATTGGGCAAATTGCATGTCTCCGGATCGAATGTAACTTGTTTTCCGGGAGACAAGCTTAAAAAAAGAAATAAATTATTTCCCGATGAGCGGGTAATCGGCTGTAATATTCTTTTTGAAATTATGTATATATAGGAATTCATAGTGGTTCGCAAGTTAAAGAAATTATCCGTACGTTGAAACACGCGTACGCGATAATCTTACCGTGGGCGGGAAACCTATGGTTTCACAACCTCGAACCGAGATCCTCTACCTATTTGCACTGATAATCCCCCACACGGTGACTTCTTGGGCTGGAACACACCGAGACCCTCTCGAAAATTCAACAGAGCGGCACGGCGCAACCAGCTCTTTTTCCACCGACACCTGTTAGCCCTTGCTAAGGGCCCATGACGACTGGAACGTCTTTTCCCACGATTAAATCAGACCCGCGAACACGCGATACCATGCCGCGCGGGACCTTACGAAGGTCGCGCACCACCTGCTGGGACAAGTTGCACATGCAAATACAAGGACTAAATACACTAATTCGCACTCTTCTCTTTCGCGTATCCAACATCTTCAAGAAACTGACAGGATTTATTAATTTGACAATGTAAAATACAGAATATATACACACACACACATACACATGTATTTAATTTCTCCTAATAATTTACTTATTGTCCTAACAACTTTAGTCGTCACGTATTTGCATTTTATCCTTGTATTTATCCTGAGGTTTAAACAAAGTTATCAAGATCTACATTTAATAAACAAATTTTTCAAGTACAGAATTATATTTTATACCTCTCTGGCCCAAATTACACGAGAATTACATTGAGAATGCTAAAAGACGCTCTATTTCGATCATCTACGATTAACTGGAGGAAAAGAAAGCACGGATTGTATAGCAAAAATGAAGGATAATCGTAATATTATTCTTTCCATGTTGTAGAATAGAAAACTCTCGATCACAATCCTGAAATATCGACAAAGAGCTCTTTCGATCGCGACTTAAAGCAGACTTCGTGATCCGTTTGTGTGGTTTCGCTGTAAAATCGAAGACGCCTTATAGGGAGTAGGATTCAAACGAAATCCTTCGCTCGGGTGAAGAACGCGCCAGGAAGATCGCGTTCGGATCCGCGAACAAAAGAAAATTTTCAGGACGGAATCACGTACGAGACATATGGACAGGTAAGCGTCGAGCTTTCTTCGGCGCATCTAGGATCTATATTTCGTGGCACGTTGAGGCGTGGAAACAGCTGTTGACAAGCGAAATTGTTGATCGCGACTGGAGGAAAAGGTAGAAAGAGAGAAAAAGAGAGAAAGAGAGAGAAAGAAAGGACGTTGGTCGAGGAAGAACTCGGTTTCGCGCGCCATATGGCGGACCGTTGCCAAAAAGAGAGAAGCGCGGAGAAAGGATCATGTCCTCGACATATGGCCGTTGTGTGGATTTTTTTAACCTTTTTCACATCGATTTATCGGTCCGAACTGCGTTCCGTTTGTAATGTCGATTCGCGAACGCTAATACTCCTCAATACTTTAAATACGTCGTGGATACGAATAACCGATTAAGACCCAGTTTCACCAACGTCGATTAACTGTAACCTTCGATTAAACTCACTTTTCGTTTCTTTCTAACTGTCCCCTTTAGAAAGAGACAAAGAGTGAGTTTAATCGAAGGTTGCAGTTAATCGACATTGGTGAAACTGGGCCTAATTAGTATTCCGCGCCGTGTGGAACATTAAGAAAAAATCAATCAAGATCTTCGAACTTGGCCAAAGTAACTATCATAAAAACACAGTCGCGATAATATGACATTATGATCTTGCAACAGAAACATAAATGAAAACTTAACCGAAACTAATGCTAATTGTAAGCCACGAGATGCGAGCGGTTCTCTCGTTTCGTTTCATGTACTTCTGTTTCATAGACTTTCTATGGCAAAACAAAAGGTGCAAACGCGATTTTTATGTCCTTCACATTTTTGTCAGAGCGTCGGAGAAAAGAGCAGATTTCCAAACCGGTGCTGTTAACATTAAGTCGCACCTGTCAAGTAGTCAGTCAGAAAAAGAGAGAAAAGCAGAAAGAAACGAGGGTAGGGCGCTCAGGTGGCTACCTGATCGAACTAGGGTGCTCCCTAAGACGCAGTCTTTGTTGTGGAAATTTCGTACCTCTCCTGCACGGTGTTCCTATACAGGTTACGCTATGTCGCCATGACGTGGATGACCCTGCCGATCCATGAAACGTAGATTGCTACGGAACCTTGAGAATATACTTGTTACGAACAGCTTCATGTGTTTCTGCACAGAGATATATCTATTCATACGGCGCGGCGCGGAACGTATCAAATGGCTTCTTTATTAATTTCACTTGTTATAACGTAATATCGATATCATGTCGTAATCTTGTATGACGCTTAAATAATACGTACTTCATAATAACCGTTCAATATTTTTGTTACAGATTACTGGCGTGCTCGAAAAGTGTGCGACGTGAACAAGAAACCGTTGACGACCACGATGGACGTGTCGAAGCAAAATGTGGAATCGTCGAAAACAACGAAGACGACCACTATGACAACCACAACGACGATAACGAAGACCACGTAGAAGACGACGTTGAACTGATGTGAACGCATATTCTCTGATCCTGTGCATACGTGCGGTTTTCTCTTGTTTTGCTGCGGTGGCGAAAAAAACCGCCATGTTAACTTAAATATGCCGGGCGACAAAAAGACCAACGCTCGAAAGCAGTTTAGTTTAAAATTACTTAAAAAATTAATATATTTTGCATTTAGCGGATTACTAAAATATTATTTAAATATTATTTAAATACTATTTTTGAAATGATAAAAGACGTACTGCACAAAAAGTAATGAAATGTGAGCATATCTTAGGCGCGGGGTTTTAACGATCGTTTGCGTAAAATGAACTTCATCTGCGCTACCAAAATTTGTATATTTGTTCCCTGGTCTTTCGAGCATTATACATATATTATCATCGATCAATTATTGAAATAATCTTCTCTAGAATTAATCGCGACGGACGTATTGATTAATTTTTGTAAATAATTCGTCAAGTGATTTATGGAGGTTTGGATGGACTTCACCGCCGTAAGAATCGCATTTGCTAATTAAAATGTCCAAATGACAAACCGTTATATCAATTTAAAGCGCGACATGATTTTTAACGAGCTCGACTATACAAAAGACTTTTCACGGCGGCGACGATCCATCGAGAGCCTGAAACGGTTGGTTCCACGACGAAGCCAACGATGCAGCGCCTCCAAAGACTATATTTGATTACAAACGTCAATTCGCAACTCCGCACTCTCGTCGCATGAGAGACAGGAGACTGTCCTATGTACATGTCGTCTTAGAATTAATAGAGAAAGTTCTCTAGTCATCTAGTCATTATAAGCTAATAATAAACTATTGTGCTTTCATTCCTGCATATTGTGTTATTATTTCTTTAGCCTTGCCATTATATTAGGTACATATATTATAAATATTTTATAATCATGTTATTATTGTGAGATGTATGCTATAAGATAACAATTTTATACAAAGTAAAAAACTGATAATTTTTTTAAGTTACATAAAAAAAATATATATATACATATATCTCATCTATTACTTATTAAGATGATTTATACGTAATCTTTAATATTTTATTTTTTCTATTTACACGCTTTTTATAACGGCACGCGGATATGAATATTGTAATCTCTTATCATATCATCTCTTATGTATTTTGCACAAATCTTCTTTGGACTAATATGGTTAATGTAACATTAATTCTATAAAGCAAAAATTTAAAGTCTAATCGTTATGGGATACTATTATAGTTATTTCGCACAGTACTACCGCTGTAATATTTGTTCCATGTTATCACCCCAAGTCTTTTAAATTAATGATACGTTAAAACAGACGTTAAAACGTGGCAGGCGAATCGACATTATCTGATATTCCATCGACACGTTTTAGGATAATCGACACGTGGAGGCCGAGTCGAAATCATCGAAAATTAGACAGCTGAGCAACACGAATCGCGCTTGTAACGAACATTTTGTAACATCCACCTGGACGCGTGCCATGGTGGTCCCGATGAACGCATGGGGGTAAAACTATAGGGTGACACGAAAACTGTTGCAATACATATGGTAATCAATTACTCACGAAATATTTTTAAAATTTCATAAAAGTTTTCAATACAACAAGAAGGAAAAAGAAGAGAATAGATATTAAAATAAAGTTTGATAACTTGTATATTTTTTCAAAATAATATAAATGAGAAGTATATTTCTAAAATAATAAATCTAACATTTTTTTTGTAAATTTTCATAGTTTTTGAGGCAATTTTGTGTTTGCCACTTTATACAATATTCATTTAAAGCACAATTATGGTAAACTATATAAATTAAATAATAAAAGTATCTAAATATCTATGACAATAATCTTGCGTCAATTTCGAGATAAAATATATCGCTACGTGTAATCTTTAATACAAATATATTATTCTTTAGCTCATATACATATACATTTATGTAGCAAAACAACGTGATTATGAAACGTAGGTATAATTTTACAATAACAACAACACATAGCAATATTTTTAACGGCACCCTGTGTAGGTGGGTAGTTTACTTTATCTGTACGTCGATACGAGCATGGGGGTGACTCGGCATGGTCGCTATATGGTTAATTATAATGCACGATGCACCGCAGGGTCTTCCACCTATGGGGGAACTCCGCGAAGGGAAGGCAGCTGGTTCATAGTTTTAATGGCTGTCATCCTAGCTGGTCATTTCGATAATGGTAACTAATACGGTGCCTCCCGAATACGGAACCATACCTGCGTTAAATCGAATATCGACGAAACGTTGCTTCATAAATGGATTTTCGACCGTTAGACCGTTGCAACGGATGAGTACACGTAGCATCTACCGAGTGATTGATGGCAAATCACCGAAACGTGTAAATTATGCTTTGTACAAATATACATGGCATATCGCTCATTTGCTACAACAATAACATAATTCAGAAAACAAAATTTTCCAAAAAATAAGTTTGAATGTTTTGAATCATTAAAATTTGTTAATATTTTTAAATGCGACTTTGGTGCAAAATTGACTGTAAAGGAACAAAAATATCTAGTTATATATTAGCTCTTCATTCAGTGTATTGAATTTTCATCCTTCTTTTGCAAACTGTTAAAAAATGACAATTTTTGAGTTATGTCATTGTTGTAGCAAATAAGCGATGTACGCGTTCTGAAAATTTTGTACTAATTTTCTTATCTATTAATTTACGCATATTTTCAATTATCTGTGTAATACTATATTAGTGAATAAAAATATTATCAAGATGACATTAATATATTATCATGTAATTTAAAATTGTAAATAATATATTGCTTCGAATTTTGGACTAAATATGATAGATCGATTAAAAATAGATTTCAAGTCGTTCGTGACTTCGAAATTCAAAACTTCCCTTAGTTCCATCAGACAGGACATGTCCAGGTGTGCCGTTGAATGTACACTTAATGGATACCTATCGCTTATACACGTGTAATGCGCTCCACCGCACGTTTAATTGATTGAATTAGCTATAGAACCAGTTTAGATCGGGACAGCACCTGATCGTAACAAAGTCCCGACTGATCGATTTTGACGAATCGCTTGCGATTTCCACTGGACGACCTATCAAACAGTTCTTTTTACTGTATCAAAGCTATCAATCATTTTTTTAGATTTATGCTTTCATTACTTGGTCTGACAATGGAACAAATATTTCATTACTAATGGAACAAGTAAAAGATTTTAATCCGAGATACAGGGAAACTTTCTTTTCCATATTTTTCTTTTTTTTATGTTTTGAAACCCGATAAAATATTTCATAGGTACATAGTCTGACATTATACTCTCAATTTAGAATAAAAAGACTCAGCTAGGAAAAAAAGGATTGTATCGTCTCATCCATCTTGAAAATGTCACGTATTACAATAATCGTGTACGAACATCAAGATAAATTACCAGTAATCGTTCGTGTATTGCTTCCGATCTTTTACAAACTGTATCTACAGCAGCAGATCAATGCCACAAACTTTAACGGTTCGTTCACACTCCCGTGAAAAACTTGAACTGTCGTCCAGACAAACGGTTGGCAAGAAAACGCGTGTCGGCAACGGCGATAAATTGCGATCTTTACGGTGGGTCGGGGCGGTCCTAAATGAGAGGGGTAAATGTCCGATCGAGGATCACCAAACGATGTCCACAATGGCCAAAATGAACTCGCCCAGTAGCATTTCGCTTTCTAACGGCAGCACGTGTCCATCCACGTATCTTCCCCCCGCGTGTGTCTACCATATATTAACTAATACCCTGTAAACACGCGCTCGAGAGAAGGTCCAGCAGGCCGCTCTAATTAAAGGACATTCATATCGAGAGGCCCGCTTCGTCGACCCCTTTACTTTCGGCTTTCGCGAAAACTGGTTCGAATGTCCGTTTGGCCTGGCCCGCCACGCGAGCACCATTTGCCCGGTTTTTTTTGCATATGATTTGACACTTTTGAATTCTTAGTACCTGGCATTTATGTCTACCAACAGTCCATATTGACATTTTAAAATAAGAACTTTATAATACAAAAAGGAAAAAAGGATTAATAATTTTTAATACTTTTTTTTTACTTATCTCATATACGGATAAAGAAACATTTGTGTGAAATAACACATTTGAAGTTCGCTATGACTTTGCACCACGGCAATCAATTAGCTATATGGACGTGAAATACGTTTAGATAAAAATTAGTAACAAAAAGTTTCTCATATTTTGAAAGATTTGACATAAAGATAAACACTCTAAAGTTAATTAACTTTTATTAATTAAAATGCTACATATTGAAAAGAGAACTTAAAATGTTAAAAAATAAAAGTCTTTAAAGAATTGTTTCGCAGTTTCCCGCGATTCTCAGTAGGAAATTTACATCAATAACTTTATTTACAACAAAATAGATAAACACTTGATAGAAAATTCCTGCATAAATATAACAATTATTGAATTCCTAATTATATGCTCATTATAGTCATTATTCTGAAAATACGTCGTACCTATTCAAAGAGTGCATCGCCAAGACAAATCATGCGATACGTCCTTGCAATTTTAATCGTCGTCTTTGATTGCCGCTACGTTTCATCGTTAAGCTGACAATAATCCCATTGGCAACTATAAAAACGATGAAGATATTATAAATCTGTCAATGGTACGTGCACGCTGTTCGAGCTCAATGAAATAATCGCGTAAGTCACTCAACTGTTTGGAGAAGAAACCGTTTCTTTCTTACCGTTTGCATTCCATGACCGTTGATGAGTCATGATTTATTTATACCTATAACGATTTACGATCACGATTGATTAAGCAAATGTTTGGATACTGATTGCACGCAGACTTCTTCGGTTAAAACTGCGCGCATTATTGGAATTCTTACTCGATGGTACATGAACATAAACCAAATGCAAAAGTACATCGTAGATACCAAATTTCTATAACCTGTTCTCAAATTCTCCTTCGCAGACTATAATACAAAAATATAATTAGAAAAAAACAATACAAATATAATATATAAATACAAAAGGACTAATAAAAGCGAAACGCAATTAAATCGATTATGCAAACGATAGAGAGAGATAAAAAACGGTTCTCTGTACGGTGCATTTCTCCGGCGATGAAATTTCAGTCGGCATGACTTTCCCCTCGCGTCGAAGTTCGATCGATCCATCGCCGATGGATTATGGTTACACAAAGTAAATGCGTTCGTTTGCGACATGCGGTTCCCTCCAGGGATGTCTCACGGAGGAGACCTCTCTTCCGATTCTCTTGGCCGGTGGACCAAGACACACCGCAAAAACTAACCGTATCGAGTCGCTCAGGGTTACGAATCACCGAGCCAGGCAGCGTCCTTCGTCCTGCCTCTCACGGATCCTTGTGAGAATCGTCGCGAATTTGATCACAATCGTGACTTGTTCTCCTGGATCACAACAGAACAGACGATGGCAAGGCTATTTCCAGACTCTTTCCAGCAAGCGAGCCGACGCGAATTACTGTCCATCTGCCCCGCCGCAACCAAGGTCCCTGAACCATCATTGACCATATCCAATTTTACGTTCACTTGACGAACCTTCGTTCCCCTTTCAATCTTTATATATTTTTTACTCTATTCTTAGCACAATGAAATATATATTTGCTGTTCGTTGGATTTGTGATTTTTTTATGTGTATTTACATTAATGTACATAATATACTGTCATCTATAACTGTTTTCCCATTTCCTGAAATATATATTCCGATAAAAAAATGACATATTAAAATGTAAATAGAATTAAATTTAGTATATTTGCTTTTAAGACAAACGACAAGCGTGGTAATCGGCGATAACGGATATCATCTAAACGA